TAATACTGAAAGACTTCAGAACACGGAAATGCAGATGTGTTGACTCGCTTACCATCGGGTGAAGATTTAAAATTTGATGCTGCAGAGGAGCAACTGGATTTTTCAAAGGTGTGTACAATATGCTCAGTCAGCCAAAAAATGTTGCCTTTAGATCCACAGTTGTTTGAAAATGAATCGCAAAAGGTTCCGGTTATTTTTTCTGTCAGTAAATTCCTTCAGAAAGGCTGGCCAAGAAAAATTTCAAGCAAGGAAATTCTACATATTATGAAATTAAAGAATTCTTTGAGTTAGGTAGGAGGCTGATGGGAAACAGAGTGGTAATCCCAGAATCTTTCAAAAAAAGCCCTCGAACTTTTACATCTGGGACACTTTAGCGTGCAACAAATGAAGCAACTGGCACGATCAGCGATTTATTGGCCAAACATGGACAGAGACATTGAAAGATTGTGCGGAGAATGTTCATCATGTCAAGAACATCAGAACAATGCTCCCAAAGCGCCCAACGAGCCTTGGCCTGTTCCGGATAGACTTTGGGGTAGATTACATATCGACCATGCCATAAAATTTATGGGAACCAATTGGCTCGTGATCGTGGATGCTTTTTCTAAATGCCCAACAAAAAAAATTACGGCATCGTCAACTATTGACTTGCTAGAACAGAAGTTTACACATTTCGGATACCCGCTCGCAATAGTAACTGATAATGCTGCAACTTTCACTTGTGAAAAATTTCAACTCTATTTAAAAGAGAGGGGGATTCAGCACCTTACAGGCGCTCCATACCACCCGGCGACTAATGGTCAGGCAGAGAGGTTCGTTCAAACTTTCAAAAGGTCTATGGCAAAATCAACATTGCCGACCGAAGCTGCTTTACGAGAGTTCCTCATGCAATACAGAAGAACTCCTTTTTCAACCGGTCTTTCGCCAAATCAATTACTGCATGGCATGCAAATACAAACTAAAATTGATACTCTCCATCCAATTTTAAAAAGGAAAAAAAGGGAAGAGAACTACAATAAGGTGAAATATTCGATTTTGATAGGTCAACCGTGTTATGTCAAGTAGTATGGCCCAAGAAGAGATCGCCAAACCAGATGGGTTCCTGCAATAGTTGTTCGAAGATTAGGTCGAAGACACATATTGGTAAAATCGATACCACATGGTCTTCTATGGAAACGACACGTAGAGCAAATCCGTCCTAGATACGGTGCCAACCAAGATGGCGATCCAGGGAAAATCACTGGGTCCCAGTCCCAATTTGATTCAAGGCATTCAATCGCCAAACCAACCACGCCTGAAAATAGTCAAGTGCTTTTCAACCCGATATCTCTCCCAAGAAGATCGGAACGTATGCGTCATAAGTTTGCCCACAAACTTTAGCTTGTTGGGGAGGTGTTATGTGCAGGGCACATCACTATTTATTCTATTTGTTTTTGGGCAATAATTAATGTACAATGTGACTCTTACTGTGACATGCTTTTTAGGCTTATTGTTTTCTATTTAGTTTGTGTTTGTGTTTCAACTCTTCAAAACAACGAAACACAACAGGTGACCGCCTGAGAATACCGGGTGCTGTAGGCTTTTCCTTTTTTCATATTTTATTTTTAATCAACGGTTAGTGTCTGGTTGCTTTTGTCATTCGTGGCCGTCAATTGCTAGAGTTCAAATTTATTTTCATAATAAAACCACGCCTTCTTCGACACATTAAATAATATCTAGCTTTCTTTACCATACTGACGGTTTCATAATAATAATATTAATATAAAGACTGTCGGAGAGTGTTAAAATGTGTTAGATTGTCAAAAAGATAACTTCCTTTAACTTGCCTGTTTTATAATAGGAGATTTTACTCCACAGAGCTTAACTAGTTATTTGACATTTTCTAACCAGTCAGTTTCTATTGTATGTCACCTCGTTTTTATTATATAAAGTTATATGCGTTCTGATTAATTATACGTTATATTATTTCATATTAATCTGCTTTACGCCCATAAATTTGCTCTCTCGTCGGGAACTATTTGTATAACTTACTAATTATTATAATTCTTACCTACTTTAACATACATCTATATAAAACCAATATTTACTTATTCATCCTAACCTAAACTGTCATTCACATAATAGATTGTTAGAGTTAGATTTCAGGATTCGACAAGGCGTAGATCAGTTTTTGACAAATGTAACAGTTGCGGCACAGAGCATGCGAGAGGACGATGCCCAGCAAGTAATCAACAATGTCATAAGTGCACAAACTAAATTAGTTTTAAGAATGTGTATATCTTGCAACATGCCATGACGATTAGCCACTCTCCGCGCAAACCAACAGTACATAACATCATTTAACACACATACACAATATTACACATTCATTTTTTAACGCCCAATAACAATAAAATTAATGTTAGTATACATCAGCATAATTTCAAGGCATTAATTGATACAAGTGCTATGGTATCATGCATTAATGCAGATGTAACAAAACGTTTAAAATTCATAAGGCATCATTCGAACCCACAACATTCACGTTTGTATGCGGCTTATGACCAACCAGTTAAAGTATTAGGCATTATTGACACTTGTGTAGAAATACAACATTTAAGATTGCACGTTAAGTTTCACATTATTAAAAATTTAAGCCAAAATATTATTCTTGGCATAGATTTTTTAATTGATCAGCAAGCTACACTTAATATTAAAAAACACGATTTCATTTTGTAATGATTTTATTATTTTCAACATTAACCAACACAAATATTAAAACAATATTTATGCATACACAACCAAACATATAACTATACCACCTAACCTATACCAATCTGAATCATTTAATTATAAGCAGCAGACATATATGGTTGAACCAATTAAATCACCAAAACAACATTAAATAGTTGCCCATGTTATAATGCAACCAAGTTCTAATAAAATCTCATGCTGCGTCATAAATCTGTCAAATAAAACTTTTTATATTAGGCCATATACTAACATCACATATTAACATCTTTAATACCGAACGGACAAACAGCAGGTAGTGCAAACAACACCAGTCAATGTCGGTTTAACCCTACTTACAAAAATTATCTTCATCGTCGTCATCATTTTACTTTGTTAGAATATTATGAAGATATAATTGCAGATACAGGTTTGACAATTGAATAACATTCACACTCTACAAAAGATGTTTTTGCAAAATCTTTGACAGATTTATTTTGTTCTGACTTTGTGTATCACACCGTCGACACCAGAGACCATTCACCTATCCGCAAACGAGTTTATCCTGCCAATGCAGAAAACAAGAAAAAAATTTCCAAACAGTTTTTATCTTTTACCTTTTGATCCTGAAACAGCCCACAAAAGCGCATTCAACAAACACGACGGACACTACGAGTTCACAAGAATTCCTCAAGGACTTGCCAACTGACTTTTTTTCTTTCAGTTTCTGGCTAACATGCTCAGTTTTAAAACGTTTAACTAACAAATAGTATATATGTTGATGATATCATTTGTTTTTCTAATAGTATGAAAGACCATGTTTAACATTTGAATATAATTTTTGAACGTTTTCGTGATACAAAATTAAAATTGCATCACAAATAATGTCAGTTCGCAAAAGACAAAATACTTTACCTAGATTACTGCATCACTGACAAAGTTTTAGAAACTGATCGAGAAAAACTTAAACTCATTCAAAAATTTTCAAGCCTAGCAGCACCACGTTTCCATTTGCAGAAATAAGATCAAACATTCGAATGGACAACAGATTGCCAGTAAGCGTTTGATGATTTGAAAAATGCCTTGGCAAAAACTTCAACACTGAAATATCCTGACACAACAAAACCATTTATTTTAAGTACTGATGCGTCTACAATTGCTATATCTTATATTTTGCAGCTTCAAAAGGTATGATTAGACCAATCGCATTAGAGGTCGCATGTTGAAACAAGCAGAGAAAAACTCGACAGTCACAGAATTAAAATGTCTAGCAGTTTTAGAAGGGTGCAGAGCATACTCGAACTATTTGTTAAACAACTATTTTACTGTTTGCACAGATCATATTTCATTAAAATATAATAGCAGTTTAAAATTTTCATACTTAAACATACTGTTGAATATCAGTTCTGTCACGGTTATTGCTTGTGTGAAAGAATATTTTTTTAAGTTGTGTGCTATGGCATTTTTTTGGTTTGGGCATGCCTAGGCGCTTGGACAACAGCAAGCGATATGGCGAGTGTGGCATGTTTTAGGAATAAGATAGAGTAGATATGTTGAATTGAACTGAACGATTATGGTTAATTAGTTGTTTGTGGTGTTTTGAATTGAACGTTATTGAACGTTTTGAATTTGATGTTAACATTTGATTTATGACATTATATAAAAGTTTCTTTTATTGATTTTAAGTTTATATTTCAAAAGAAGTTTGAAATTAACCGTCTCGTAGTTTGAATTATTGATTTCGAAAAAAAACCTGACATCTGGCGCAGTCGACAGGATATTAAACAGAACTTTGCGTGATCATTATATGATATAATAATCTCGGGTAAAAGTCCGTGACATTTTTGGTGGCAGCGGTGGGATATATTGCCTCGGTGGTTAATCAGTGGATTCTGATTATCGGGGAATATCCAGTGACAACCAAGTAATTCAAGGAGTAATTGCTGGTTGAAGTTTTACGTCGACGGATTTTTGTCGGTTTATTGGAGGATTCCGATTACCGACGGAGATTTTATATCAACATAGACGGCGCTTGGTTGGGGTTTGATATCGAATTATTATGGAAAAAGATATACCAGCAGAGATAAAAAAAATGTCGACCGAACGGTCGATTAAGAAAATAATCAAGTTCGGAGTAGATGAAACGGAGGCACAATCGAGGTCTAGGCAAGAATTAATCGATCGATATATTGCCAACGAACTTTTAGAAACAGATGAAAATCCAGAAGAAAATACTTTAGAAGAGCCTCAGAATCCTATCGAATTTGAGAAATGGAAATTTCTCAGCGAGTTGAAATTGAAGCAGCAATAATTAAATTTACAAAAAAAAAGATGGAGAGAAAAAATAATAAAGAACACGAACGAGAATGTAAATTACGTGAAAGGAAGATGGGGAGAAAAACTGAAGAATTTAAATATCAAATGAGGATAAAGGAGGAAGAACTTGCGATAAGACAGAAAAGCTTTAACCTACAGAATGAACAAGAACGATCGCGATTGAATGAGAGAGATTCAATGTTAAATTGCATTAAAACATTAAGCGACTCAATGAAAAATATGATGGAGAAATATCCGCCGGAACCCAGCGAATTACCAAGTTTTTTTTGAAAATCTAGAAAACCAATTCGACCAATTTGGTGTTGATGAAAATATAAAAGCCAAGTTACTTCAAATGTGTCTACAAGATAAGGCTAAATCTCTTATATCTCGTTAACAGTTAAACAATTTAGTAACTATAACACGTTGAAGGAATTTTTGCTGAACGAGTTCAGAGTGAGCCCAGTCAGGCTAAGAGAACAATTTTTTAACATCAGGAAATTACCTAATAAAACATACCAGCTCCTATTGTCAAAGTTGAAAAACACTTGGATATATTATTTAAAAAGCCGGAATGTTGGAGAAAAATTTGACAGATTATTGAGTTTATTGATGGCTGATAGAATGAAGGAATTACTACCCAGAGGATGTTTAAATTTTATTCTCAGTCAAGAACAGGAGGATTGGTTGGACTACGATACATTGGCTCAAGCAGCTGATAATTATTTGGCAACATATGAAAGCACCAAACCCCATCATAGGAAAATGGAATTGAATGTTGGTGTTAAAGAAGAGTATAACGATAAGCGCATTATAAACAAAAACAAAGAGGAAGCTATGGAAAAGGGACTATGTTTCAGATGTCAAAGGTCAGGTCATGTAGCGAAAAACTGTACTCAGCCGGTAAAGATTCAAAGAAATTCAGTATATCAAGAATCCGAAATAAAAGAAGATGAATTTCTGTTTACAGAAAGATCAGCCAGCAAATATCGAAAAGAAAAAAATAAATTAAAGGAAGTTTGTTGATATCTCTCTCATTCAATCGCGATCGTTCTTGTTCATTCTGTAGGTTAAAGCTTTTCTGTCTTATCGCAAGTTCTTCCTCCTTTATCCTCATTTGATATTTAAATTTGTCGATGGAATAAGAATACCAAAGGCACTTGTCGATGGAGGGGCAGAGATTAGTTGTATCCATCCAAAGTTTATCGATTGGTCGAGAGTAATTTTGCAAGGTAAGATTTCTGTTTTGGGACTTCAAAGAAAAGCAAATATTGTAAATGTAGTAAATTTAGAAGTGCAACCTAAAATGGAAGGTTCTGAATGGATGATAATTATTGCACCTAGAGTAACAGTTTGGTTTGCAGTAGTGCTGGACCTGAACGAAAATTTGATCACAACACCAGATGTAGTAAACTTGCTGAAGGAAATAAAAAATTGTTTAGTACTTTCAAAAGAAGACGTTTTAGAGACATCGAATGCAATAGGTTTAAACATTAATGCCGAAACGGAAATTAGATCTGATAAACTCGAAAAAGATGAAAACGATCACAACGTAGGCGAAGATTGCGAACGTGAGGTTTGTAGAAATGATTGTGATGATGGCGTTGATAAATATGAATATGATCTTAAAAAAGTAAATGAATTTGATGACGATACGCAACGCGAAGACGACAACAACGATGATGATAATCCTAGTAAAAGTGTTAGATATAACCATAACATTAGTGTTGGTAGTGTTAGTCGCGATAGATTAGCTATTGATATAAGTAATAACGATAGTAATTCAAGCCAGAGTATATTAAAAAGAGTCAGAAATGTTGCTGTAGCCAACGTTGACGATGATGATGATAACCGATGTATGGATATAGAACATGTAGTTCGACCGACTGACAACGACGATGAAAAAGAAAGATCGGCAAGCTCCGAAGAATTATCAATAATTTTTTTATCAAAGACAACATCTTTTACTATCAGGACAAATTGCTGGGACAAAAAATAATTCAGTTATTTTTGCCGGACAGTAGGATCTCAACAGTTTTGGAGATGGGACATGACGCGCCCTTTGCAGGCCATATGGCAGTTAAAAACCCAAGATATCGCATTAAACTTAATTTTTGGTTTCCGAAAATGGATAAAAATATCAAGGAATATTGCCAGTCGAGTTCGATTTGTCAGTTGCGGGCACCAATCAAAATAGCGCACAGGGTTCCTATCACACCCATACCAAGAGATGAAAAATTGCCATTTAAACATTTAATAATGGACTGTATTGGGCTTATATTTTCACCAGATGAAACAAAGCGCAGGGCAACGGATTATAACTACGCGTTAGTCGTTGTTGATAAATTTTCCAGATGGCCAATGGCATACCCATTAAGAACGTTAAAGACCACAGCCAACTGCGATGCGTTGTTACAAGTATTTATGACATTTTCAGTACCTCGTGTGATTAGTTCGGATCGTGGAACTAATTTTACAAGTTATTACTCAGGAATTTTTAAAAAGATTTGGATGTAACCCGCGCCTTAATTCACTCGCACATTCCGAAGCAGCGGGTTAGGTTGAAAGATGCAACCAAACCCTCAAGACGATGATTTCCTAGGTCGCCCCAACCGAATTTTAGTATAATAGATTTATAGTTAAAATAAAGCTCTATAGGACTGTATCTAGAAAACTTATAATTACCTATTACTCTAATAGATCAAATTTTATAATATATAGACAACTAATTTATCCATTCTATATCAATCATGCTCAACAAAATCTAAGAGATTGGCATAAATTGTTACGATTTATTTTATGGAGCTTGAAAGAAGTACTCTCTTCAACTACCCACATTAGACCGTACACGTTAGTTTATGGAACTATTCCCAGAAGACCCTTGTCTATACTTAAAAAATCATGGAGTGGTGAAAGGTCTTTACCATTGAATATTGGAAAAAAACCCGAAAAATATTTAAAAAATTAAAGGAAAATTTAGATTTTGCAAAAGCGTACGCAAAATATTATTCAGAGTTCGAACAAGGTAGTATGGATAGACGATACCAAATTGGAGATAAGGTCGCCGTATTAACCCCAAATCCTAGTGAAGCAAAATCATGCCACCGCTGGCGAGGCCCAGGAGTAATTGTAAAAATAAAGTCTCCGTGTTCTTACATAGTTGAAATTGATGGAAAACAACAACACCTTCATGCGAATAAAACTAAAGGCTATCATGAAAGAATCCAGCAAGCCTTGGTAACTAGTTGCTCCATTGTAAACGAAATTAGCAAGGTAATACAATCTCATCGACGGGCTTTTTTTTGTAACATCATTGAACACGAAATTATCTTGTTACCTAGATATAAACCAAAACAAATGAGACCGTACAAAATATCTGAGTTGCTAAAGCAATCTGTAAAAACTCAAATTCTAGAAATGCTGAAAAATGGAATTATTGTACCATCAAAAAGCGAGATAGTTAACCCTATGGTCTGCGTTCTAAAAAACTCAGGGGGAGTGAGACTGGCCGGTCATAGATTATCGATATTTAAATAAATTTTCCGTTGCAGACTGTTTCCCAAATTCAGATATTTCTGATATACTGCAAAAAGTTGGGAAGGCTAAATATATTAGTTGCTTTGATGCAAAGGCTGGTTATTGGCAGATACTTATAAAACCGGAATCACAGTGGCTTACTGCCCTTTTAGTGAAGAGGGCGTGTTCAAATTCACACGAATGCCATTTTGGCTTAAATCCGCAGGTAACACGTTTGTACAAGGGATAAAATATATACTCAGGAACATGAGAAAATTTGAAGAACCATTCATAAACGACGTCGCAATATTTTCAGATAAATGGGAGGATCACGTCCGCCATTTGGATCAATTTTTGGGTAAAATTCGGAAAGCGGGGTTAACGTTAAATATAACAAAAACCACGTTTGCTCAGAGTAAGGTTAAATTTGTAGGACACATTATCGGGTCAGGACTTATAGAACCAGACCGAAGCAAGTTAGATGGGCTAGAAAAAAATTAAACCACAAACCACAAAAAGGACCTCAAGAAGATGATTGGATTCTTCAGTTATTTTCGCAGTTTCCTTCCGATGTGGGCGGAGACGATGAATGTTATCACCGATCTCACCCGTAAAAACGTCCCATATAGGGTTCAATGGCGAAGTATGCAGCAAAAAACTTTCGATATAATTAAGCAACAATTGATGAGTGTCACAGCTTTGAACACGATCGATTATTCAAAAGAATTTGGTGTATATATATGTATATAGTCGAAAGGAGTTACCTATCGCCTTTGCTAGCAGACAAGATGGTCGACGATTGGAAGGTGCTAGAGAAGTTTCGACCGTGGATCTGTTTGTCCAAAATAATTGTGTCTTCAGACCACAATCCATTAAAATACCTGACAGAAGCAGCACCAAAAAGCGTAAAATTGACAAGATGGGTATTATCCTTTCAAGATTTCAATATGGAGCTTGGATACCACCCAGGTAACTCAAATATCGTGGCAGATTTCTTGTCACGAAACCTACCTGATGATAATATCATAGAGGGAAAGAAATAGGCGAGGGACGATGACATCTGTTTCCCTCGTCATCGTTTTAGGGTTGGGGGTATGTCACAGTTATTGCTTGTGTGAAGAAATATTTTTTTTAAGTTGTGCGCTATGGCATTTTTTTTTGGTTTGGGCATGCCTAGGCGCTTGGACAACAGCAAGTGATATGGCGAGTGTGGCATGTTTTAGGAATAAGATAGAGTAGACAAAAATTATTCTCAGACAATCGAAATCAGTTTTGAAACGTCTTGAAGTTGTAGAATCATTTGAATGTGTACACATCGATATCATTTGGCCATTATCAGAGAATCCAGAAGGTAACAAGTATGCGTTGATATGCATTAAATCACTGAGCCGCTTTCCCTTAAAACGCAAACAGCTCAAGAAATTGCTGAAAAACTTTTCAATGACTATATTCCAAGATATGGAGCAATGAAATCCATATTATCAGACTTAGTAACTAACTTAATTTCTCAGATCATGGAACACTTTTGTAAATGTTTTAACGTTAAGCACATCAAAGTAAGCGCATATCCGCAGCAAATAAATGCACAAGCAGAAATTTTGAACAAGCACATCCTGCAAGCAATAAGATTGTATTGCTCAGATCAACACCAATGACCATCAATTATTGGACCATTACTTTTTAGTTACAAAAGTTTTGTAGCTACCAATTCAATTATCTTAACATTTTTTGAAATTTTATCCTGCAAAAAAGTGAATCGATTTAAGGATATCACTTATGAATCAAAATTAAAAAATAATCTTAACAGATTTTTACGTTCAAACACTAGTAGAACGTATTAGAATTATTCAGGAAGAAACAATTCAGAATGTTATTAGAAATCATATGAAGAGCAAGTTAATTTTTTACAGAGACAAACAGCAGAGATCAATTTCGAAGAAAGTAGTAAAGTATAGTTACTAAGTCGGAGAAGAAGGATAGGAGAATATGCAAAGCTTTACAGAAAATACGTTGCACCATTTAGTGTTGAGACAAATAAGGGTGACAAATGTTATTTGCTGAGAGATTTTAAAACAAACAAACTGCTAAGATACACAGAAAATAGCAATACTCTTAAGCCGTTCAATAAAGTGACAACTTTCGCAAGTACCAAAGTAACGCGAACAACTTTCAATCATTACAGAATAGCAAAATAATTGATAAAGTAGTCGATAAATCCAAAAGTAAATCTTTTCAGTATCTAGTTAGATATACAAACGGTGACGAAGAATGTCTCCCAGAGAATCAAATTTCACTATCACTCGTCACTAACTATCATTATAATTGCTCACCTACTTTAACATATCAATATACATATATCTATCTATCTATCTATCTATCTATCTATCTATCTATCTATCTATCTATCTATCTATCTATCTATCTATCTATCTATCTATCTATCTATCTATCTATCTATCTATCTATCTATCTATCTATCTATCTATCTATCTATCTATCTATCTATCTATCTATCTATCTATCTATCTATCTATCTATCTATCTATCTATCTATCTATCTATCTATCTATCTATCTATCTATCTATCTATCTATCTATCTATCTATCTATCTATCTATCTATCTATCTATCTATCTATCTATCTATCTATCTATCTATCTATCTATCTATCTATCTATCTATCTATCTATCTATCTATCTATCTATCTATCTATCTATCTATCTATCTATCTATCTATCTATCTATCTATCTATCTATCTATCTATCTATCTATCTATCTATCTATCTATCTATCTATCTATCTATCTATCTATCTATCTATCTATCTATCTATCTATCTATCTATCTATCTATCTATCTATCTATCTATCTATCTATCTATCTATCTATCTATCTATCTATCTATCTATCTATCTATCTATCTATCTATCTATCTATCTATCTATCTATCTATCTATCTATCTATCTATCTATCTATCTATCTATCTATCTATCTATCTATCTATCTATCTATCTATCTATCTATCTATCTATCTATCTATCTATCTATCTATCTATCTATCTATCTATCTATCTATCTATCTATCATCATTATCATCATCATCTGCTGTCTGCCAGCCCAGGTAGTAGCTAATCACAAAGAGCCTCCACCTTCTTCTATCTTTTGTCATTTTTCGTTTTCTGCAACGTTTATGTTATTTATTTTAAAGTTTTTTTTGATACTGCCAGTCCAAGCCTTTTTTGGATGACTTTTTTTTTCTTACCCTCTACATGGTTGAATAAGGCCCTTTATGGTAATTTCTCTAAATTCATCCTATTTACATGTCCAAACCTAGTTTGTCTTCTTTTTCGGATTTTTTCTATTTTGTTGCTCTCTTCACCAAGTTTTTTTCTGATGTTGGTGTTTCTTATTTTTTGGATTTTAGTGACACTCACGATCTGTTTCAGACAATTCATTTTGGCTGCTAAAAGTCTGTTACAACACATAACACATACAATACATATCTATAGGTTTACTTAAACCTCCTAACATAAATATTTAGGTTTTATTATTTTAGACAGTTTATCTTTGTGAAAAACTTTAAAAATTACCGACCTTTTGAAAAATGTAATAGAAGAAAGATGTCGTTAATCTAAATTAATCTAATAATTAATATTAGTAAATATGCTTAAAAATTACCGACCTTACTAGAAAATATAGTAGAAACTATTTTTTGGCATTGCAAAAAACATTTTTATAATTCGCTCTAAATCTTATACTTACAATACCTATACTGGCCTTCGATTTTACCCGCAAACATTTTCATGCGCTTTAGGGTCTGGTGTCATTTTTTAGTTTCCATAAACATTAAATTAAATAACAATAACTCGGAAATGTGCCAAAGCAGAAATTAAAAACCGAAAAGATCATCTATTGTTCGATTCACAGCATCATTGGAAAGAAGAATAGATAAAATAGATATACGATAATATTGACAGAATTAAAAAAGATTTCAGGTTTGCTAATATTGTTAATATACTAGCATCATGTGTAGATGGTTTACAATTACACACAAAGGCGGTAAAAATTGTACGTTGCATATCAACAGAATCAAAACAAAAAGGAGAATTTTGAAAGAATGGAAGCAGCGTAGAATTTTATTTAAAATCCAAAGAAATAGAACAAGTCAACCAGTTGTTAACTTAGGTACTCTAGTAACCGGCGACAACAATCGCTCAAACAAATTTAACCGAAGCAAAGCTATAAATTGCACAAGACTTGAAAAAGTGGCAATAAATCAAAGTTAAAAATGATGAAAACCTGTTTGTTTTCTCTACTTGATGTAAGCATCCAAACCATAGAAAATAACATGTAAGCAGCTCTGCGTTTGACGGCTGTATTATAAAGAATAATGAAAAACAATCTAAAATGGATAAAAATATTAATAATTAAAAGGATTACTACAAAAATCGTTTGGTGTCAACCGGAAACCAAAAAAAATTAAATAAAAAACCGGTTTAGAAAAAAAAACAATATAAACATAAAGTAAAATTAAAAATATTGGATCATTTGGACATATATTAAAAATGCCGAATATATAAATTCAAATACTAAATGTATATTAATGAAGTACGATACTAAAAAAATGTAAAGATATGACAAGAAATTGATAGACGGCATTATAAAATGAACTGGAGGGGAAATTATTATAAGTGGCAAAAACAGAAGATGATTTCGCAAATCTAAACGGTGGACATCACAGCCTCAACAGTTCATTAAGGGGTTAAAGTAGATTGATTGATTGTTTGATTGAATGTTTGATTGATTGTTTGTTTGTTTGTTTGATTGATTGATTGATTGTTTGATTGATTGGCCACGTTATGTTTGATTTCCTTTTCAAAATACATTGACAACATTGGGCTTTAGTTATCCAAAATAGTTCTAATTACATGTTAAGGGCTTACAAAAATTTGAGAAAAGAGAAGGTGAGTATAATCGCAGTTAAAGTGGCGCACGTTCTCAAGTAAAACTGGAGTTAATGATTGCACAATGCAATTCCACTAAATCCAACCGTAATGCATTATCGGCAAATTAGAAAAGGCATGCCGTCATTAAATGATATGAGCGGCGCGATGGTGTAACGACGGTAAAGTGCCTAGCACTGCTATTGCTGGGCATGGATTCGATTGCAAAGAGATTACCTGCAATGCGTATACTGTAGGATGCGTCATTTAACATATATTTACTTACATGTACTGTATGTTTGTTGGTGTTGTCTCTGAAAACTATTGAAGAGATAATTGTAATAAATAAATAAATAAATAAATGAATGAATGAACGAACGAACGAACGAACGAACGAACGAATGAATAAATGAATAAATAAATAAATTAATTAATTAATTAATTAATTAATAAACAAATAAATAAATTAATTAATTAATAATTGAATGAATGCATAAATAGATATGCTAGCGGTTTTATTCTGGTTAAAAAGTGAAGAAAATCGTGAAACAACAATCATGGCCGAATACTGTTGCAATGTACCAGTGTTATTGACAAAATTATCCATTCGATCACAATTTTTCATTTTTTTTTTAAATTCATTCATTTTTATTCATTACTTATCTATATAGGTTTAAGTTTTTTTATTTTAAAAATTAAAAATTAAAATAATTTTAACAACGTGTTATAATTATATAAAAGGTGTTATTGACAATTGCATCATTGTTTGTGTTTACCTACGGTTAAAAATACTTTAACAATGATAGTTTATTGCTATCTGAAAGAATACTGAACAAATTTCTAAATATTCTTTGAAAACTGCTGTAACGTATTATAATAAAAATGCAATTTGAAATAAAAATTGTTTTATTAAAGAATCAACTTGCTAAAAACTTAATAATAACTTTGAACATTTTTTTTATTATTTCCATTATATTTTATATTGTTATTTTTGTAAATAAAAAATTTGCAACAGAATAAACAAGTGTGAAGAAATAAATTTTATATTGATGTGAATTGTTAGATTTCATTTATGTAATAATTTTAAGAGTATGCAAGTTTTACAGCTCTTGATGTCATTCGATGATATATACAAGTGCGAATCTCGAATCTGTTACTTTTTTATAGCGGTTATATATGAAAAAAATCCAACTGCTAGCCAAATGACCACAAAGAAACCGATTATAAAAAATACACTTTTTACCATAAGCAAATTAGTTTCATTATCATCACCTTCATTTCGTTTTTTCTTATTAGTTGCTCTTAACAAAAAATTGACAGCCGATATGTATTTGTGCCGCTGGTTTCGAGCCTCTGCTTCTGAGTTGTGGTGGTTCATTTGTTGAGTTTGATGGTGGTGCTTGAGGTGAGGGTTGCTGTAATCTGCGCTTTCTGGAAATGAAGTAGTAGTTATAGTTGATGGACATTCCCAATCTTCTACCGTTTTTGCAGTTGGATAATTTTCTGTATGATTATTTTTTGCCGAAATATTATATTAATGAATAAATTTTATAAAAATTGTTAGTTTAAACTTCAACGTCGGACGTTATCAAATATCAATTGAAGATTCAATTATAAAAACCCGAAAAAATATGTTATTAATTGGTATAGATAGAGTAAGACAAAACCTTTTTAAAATAATAAATACTTTAAACTGCCAACTGATATTTGTTTATATAAAACATTAACACAAAGTTGAGGAAAGAATTTTTTTAAAAAGACATTACGAATAAGTTTATTTACTGTTTAGGTCTAGAAGTAAACTGGCGTGGTTGGTAATAATATTCAAAATTAAAAAATGTTTTTATCATTCATTTGATTCAAATTAATTAATCAAATAAAAATGAAAAGATGTTATTCAACTTGTTTACGTTACGGCACAAATTGCCTTAAAACGCTTCAATAAATATATATAGAATAATCTTTCACAAACTGGCTAAAAATGATTTCAATGAATCGGCTAAAAATTAATTCAATTTTAGTAGACATGGATAGAAAACACTGTTGGTTTCAATTACATCGCGCGTTTCAATCTAGTATGTAAAATTTGACAAACATCAAATGAATTAATTTCATAAACATAAAACCAGTGCTTCAGCCATTATCAGTGCGGAAAAATTAGTGAAGCAATTGATTGTCGGTTATTGTTTTTCTATTAGAAAACTTTTGTAAAATGTTTAATTTGCTGAAGAATACCTCTAGCAATCATTGTTAATTTATAGAATTTCTAAAGTAAAATTAGTCTATAATTTAAAATCTATTGAAGTCAATAAAATTATAAATAAAAATAAAATCACTGTAAAAATTTAAACAGTAAAACATCTGAAAATTAAATTATAAATGAACATAGAAAGCTCAATAGTGTAGAGATTGTACATAAGATTGTTGAAATGTGTTTTTTATGCAGATGACACCACTATATTAATTAGCGGCAAATCATTGGAAATATTAATAAAGCAAGAATTATACAACTTTGGATGTCTGCTAACGATCTAAAAATTAATACCAACAAAACAAAATGTAATCTTTTTGGATCCAAAATTGTCCCAAAGATAAAAAAACTTTGTTGATCATAAAAATAATGTACATATTCCTAATTTACAACCATTAAGTTTATGGGTGCATAAGTCACAAGCAACCTATGTTGGAAAGATTACATACTACAGATATCTAATAAAATCTTTAAAAGTCTAGGCATTACGAACAGATTAATATCACTTTTCTTTATTAAATTTTATACAATTTACACGTTTGTTTCATGTACCCTTATTTAATATAATGTTCAAATGTTTGAGGTAAAAATATAAAATCACATATAGCAATTTTAAATGGATGTTAAACAAGATCATTAGATTTATATATGACCTTCCTTTCCACCGTCATACAAACCACTTTTTAAAACAATCAAAATCATTATGAGTTCAAAATTTATATACACTAAAATTATTATTATTTTTATAAAATTATTTTTGTATAAAAACTTCTCTTATTTCCAAAAACATCTTGAGCAAGCTGCATCAATTGTCACGAGGCCAACATGGCATACTCATGAATTGTATATTTCACCATATGATGATGATGATTAGCCATTTAGTCAAAGTCGACTTTCGGCCACTTTATGGATCTGTCTTCTCCATGTGTTCCTGTCCTCGACGATTATTTTAAGTTCTGAGATCGTCATTTTGGTGGCCGATGTGATTGTATCAAGCCAACGTATTCTTTGCCGTCCTTTTCTTCTTGCCCCACTCTCTTTACCTAGCATCATTGAAGTTTCCTGCAAATTTGCACGCATAACATGGCCGAAAAAGGAGAGTTGTTGTTTGACGATTTTGCCCTCAAGCGACATTTTTGGCTTGATACGGTCTAAGACCGTCTTATTTGTTGTCCGCGATGTCCAGGGGATAGGCGGTAGTCTTCTCCAACACCAAAGCTCAAAAACGTCGATCTTTCTTCTTTCCGCTTTCTTGATTGTTTAACTTTCACATCCGTAAGTTGCTATGGGAAAGACAATGGCGTGACGAGTCTCGTTTTCGTTGCAATGCTCACATCCTTGCTCCTCCAGACTTTATCTATTCCTTACATTGCAGCCCGGCCGAGTGCAATCCGTCTTTTGATCTCTGGTCCAAATTTGCCGTTTCGGTCAATTTTGGCTCTCAGGAAAATGAAATCTTGTACTGTTTCGATCTGTTTATTGTTGATTTTGATGTTTACTGCATCATTGCATGCCGTTGTCATTACTTTCGTTTTCTTGATGTTGAGGTACAGTCCCATGCGTTCACTTTCCTCTTGAACTTGTTGGATCAAGTATTCCAGGTCTTTCTCACTTTCTGCGAGTATAGTTGCGTCATCCGCATATCTCAGGTTGTTGATGGTCCTAACTCCAAGTTGGACTCCGATTGTGATCTCGTCTAGATTGCATCGTCGATTCTACCATATAGAACAGTTCTAATCTCCCATTCAACATTTGTTATTGGTGTAAGACTATGGAATGCAAAGACGTTTAATATAACTAATTCAGCAAACGTAAATTTTTACAAGAAATCTGTAATCTCCCTTATAAATGGTAATTTTTCAGTTTCACATTATAATGTTGTGTTATGCTTACTCTGCCTGTTCCAGTCTCATAACATTTCTCATGCTTGCCAAACACATTGCAGAAGAGAATATCTGTTTCATACATTTTTATATCTTTACCAAAAATTCTATTTAATTTATAAATGATTAGTTGTAGATACCGCTACTTGGCATAAAGATTTGATATAGTGGATTGTTTTTGTTGCTTTGCATACTGATACCCAAACTTCTAACACCATTATATTTTTTATTCAAACTGTTACATATATCGTATCACATTTTTTTTATTGGCATGTAAAAAATAAATCACTATCATTTTTGTCTACCAAAGAACTTAAATATGCAGCAACGAAAGTGGCAGACTGTCAAATCAATACTTAACCAGCATCATACAGTCCATCCATCATTGCAATTAGATGGCTTGCGCGATAGATTAAGTTAGCATTGCTTGTTGTGAATGCGGTTACGAAAAAGTTGAAAAACAGAAAACAACAATAAAATGAGCATACATGTTTTGTGAAGTAGTGTTTCTTTTTTGTCAAACTTAAAGCTATCAATGATATTTATTGTACAAAAATATTTTACCTTAGTCATACAAGCAGTATTAGTCAATCAATCATTCAATTAGTTTGTAAAGCGCTATTTCCACGAGGTTCCACAGCACCTTTCAGAGAAATTTTTCAAACAGATGGGTTTTGAGATACGCTCTGAACTTCGTAAGTGAGTGAGTACGTAAACGGTTAAGAAGAAGTGAGAACAAGAAAACGATCAAAAACCGGGGGGTTTAAGATATTAAGTATCCAGTTAAAAAATGAACTTGGGTACACTTTTGTGAAGAGTTATAAAAAACACTTGAAACAATATTTGTTACTTAAACGCAATCATGCCTATGAAATTTTACACAACGAATGAATGAATGAATGCAGCAGGGAGCATGAGAGTGACATTATAAATAGCTGCAATATACACTAAAATCATATCAGTTCATCGTCAACAAAAGTTTTAAAATATCGATCCAAGTACATTTAGGTTTGCAACGCTCAATCCTGCCCACTTGATTCTCACTGCACTTGATCCAGACGTTTTAATCACGTCTGATTGCACTTGATGATGCCAACTTCAATTACTCTTAAATTCATATGATTTTCATAATAATATTTTTATTATAAAAATTATTAATATACAACATTAATTATTACGTTGCAAGTTAACGTAATGTTTAGATGAAATAATGATATATTCAATTCTTGGCGATTCTAGATAATTTACAAATGTCTTCGCGTTCAATAGATTTGTCTGAAAAAGAGACATGAAAATAACAACGGAAAAATTATGCAGTGCCACTTTGGACACAAATTTAAAAATAAATACTGAAACTATTATTGACACTGTTGTTATTATTATTATTATTATCAAGAATATTCGTAATGCGCTTTTCTCAGTAACTCAACAGCGCATATGATGTAAATGATAAAATATAATAAAAATTTTAACGTTAGTTGTTTTTAGATGCAATATGCAATGACAAATTTGATAATTTTATAAAGATGCCGATATTTAAACAAATTAAACTTTTATGCTGATTATTAACTGCTGCAAATAAACGTTAAAAAATATGTATTGAATTATAAACGCAACGCAGTACAACAAAGTAACGAAACTGGCAACATGAATTTAGAAATACTCTATACATCTTCATTAAAATTCAGGATGTCGCTGTTAACATTCTATAAGCTCCTATGATAACAGCTAATAAGTGAAATAAAAAGGATGAAAAATTGAGATAAACTCCGTTGGCTGCTCCGCTGCTTGGAATACCTACGCAAGTCAAGATGGAAGCACAAGTTAGATAATCAGCAGCAGAGTTTTCAACAAAAACTTTTTATGAATAGGATGAATACTTATTTTCATCCTTCGTGTTGCAATCAAAATGTCGATCAAAATTAGTCTTTTACCATTAAAAACAGTTGATGCAATATTAAAAGTTATCTGACTGACGACATTTTGAAAAAATTGTTGACTCCGGCTTCCAATTGTTAAAAATTATAATTGAAGTTTTTCACTACAACTTCAGGAAGACCCACTGGCTCGAGATAAAATTTAATTAAATTTTATTTAAATTTATAGTTTTCTTTGATATATAAATAATCATAATGTCTAACCAGTGTTTTTCTGGTCAGATACCAAACATTTTGTTCTAAATTATTATTATGTTACAATGATCAATTGCTACGAACATTTAATTTTTAACTATTATTATTTTATGAAATTTTAATTCAACTATCTCGTTAACAGTGAGTCACCCTTTTTTTCCAAATGATTCTTGCAAAATAATTTATGAAACTCAACGAAACAATATTTCTAACACCTAAAATGGTTTTACCATCATAGTTAAGCTAATAGAGCCACGAACTATTTGTGACATTTTGACTAATTAATTATTATTAACTATTAATTAATTATTAATTAATATATTAAAAACTATAGACAATATTTGTAATTTCTGTTTAGGTGGCCAGGTTATACTATGTAAATTATTACGAGCTATAATGTTGTCTTCACGCTTTCTTATTAATTTCTTAATTTTAAAAAGCTAATAAAACTTAATTTTATCACATCATTTAAGCTGATTACTGCTATTTTCGTTGAATGACCATTTTCTCACTTTGGCTTGTTCGGCTCATGAACAAATGACATTTAAATATTTTGCAACAATGTACAGCCTGAATGATATGGCTGACTGGAAGTCATCTGGTCCAACACCATGCTTCTTTTTCTGAAAGCTAGATGGCAGTTTGTGACTTCAACGTCAATCGTTTTGTGATGTAATGTGATGTCACTAATTACCTGTTTAGTCACTGAAAGATTTTTTTGAAAAAAATTCTGGCTGGCAATGATATTCAGATCGTTCGACGTTCGACGGTCGGGAACCAGTGATAATTGTTTGAATCCTTTCAACCGTTGGTGAAATGCTCTTAAAACGTTTTTTATTTCTTACAGTAAAAAATCATCCATTCTAATTTTATCTAGGTTTAATAAATAAAATTTATAATTTTATAACATATTAATTTTTTTTAGTCTTTTTTATTGCAGCTCTGACATTCGCAGAACCACCTACATTGTTACATATATATTATTTAAATATCTTCAATACGTTTTTCATATCTTCATTTAGTAATTTGAAGCAGCCATCTTTGCCACAAAGGCTCTTTATCTTTTTCACACGACGTACACATGTATTTATGTGCACGCGCAAGCACCACATCATATACGTTGAGTATATGACGGCCATTGAGATGTTTGACTCAGCACGCATTTGAACCACTGAGCCTTCTCGCCGACCAGCATTTTAATTAATTTCAATTTATTAATGTTACTTCGATCATGTTTCAAGTTTATTGCTGTTATTAACTTCAGTGTTAACCCTTTGTTGCTGTTAACTTCAGTTAACTTTCTGGACTCCTCAATACTAAGAACTGCTGGAATGTTTAAAAGTTCCTTTGAGTCGTTTCGAGACTTGTTCACAAGTTGATGTATTAAATTCATTTGTATGCAGTTGATTCGCTATGCTTTTCAAGTAAATTCAACAAAGCGAGTTTGTTTCCAATGAGCTAAAGGAAGAACATTAGATTCCATATAGCAGAGAGTTGGAGTAGTATTTAAGTACTTTCTCAAGAACTTTATAACTTTTAACTGCAAATTTGCTATTTTCATCACTCCAAATATAACACAACAAATTGTTCATCCAAAACCTTTGGCCATTCTGGATGCAACAACAGTTTGTTACGCGTCAAGCAACACATAGAAATGGTGTGATCAGGAAAAACGGACTCGACTGAACCGATGGCTTTTTATACTCAAATTTATATTTATATTCAAAGATTGTTTCTTGCTGACATTATTTATTCAGCCTACAAAAATGTTTTTTGATTTATTAATCTATTTATTACTGCAATCTATACAAGACCATTTCCACTGTGCTTTACATTAACATATTGCAACTTAAGCATGTAATAAGTGGAGACTACATTGCACAGAATCAACGTCATTGTAACGTAGGACCAGGTATTCCACCAATTTCTGCCATGATTTCATCCAACTTCAATATGTCTTCGTCATCATATTAACACTTTAATAAGAGGAAAACGTAAAAATATTGATGATCATTAACATTTCGAATTTGAATTCATATAAAATGAGTATTGTATTTTTACAAAAAAGAAATTTATCAAAAAATAATATAAAATTAAATTTGATTTATTTCTACTTTTATTATTATTAACTTAATTAAAATATTTAAAATTTGGTTTTCGATTGACATATAAGAAGGAGAAGTAACTAAGTGAATCTTATATTGTCACTGAATAGCAAAAGTTATGCTAACTTACTAACTATCAATATAAATAAAATGTATTATTTCTACAACTAGACCGATGAAATGTCGTGAAAATATTTCAAAATTATTAACAACTCACTTAATATAGCGACAAGCGAATATTGTCTGCAAGCTGTGCTTCCTGGTGCTGCTTGGCGAAAATTTACCGCATCTCCAACTTGGAATTGTCGAGAGGGCATAGTAACATGGTGGTAGAGGTGATGGTGGCTGATGGACGAACAAGGCACTGTTGACCAGGCAATGGGATTTTCCATTGGAAAGTAGATTCCCAAAACGTCACCACGTTTAATATTTATAGTTTTTAAATTTTTGTGAACAAATCTTCGCGTCGTCGTAAAAGGCAAATGTGATGACAGCAGCTGTGAGTACGCAGATGTGGATGAAGACGGCGTTGGTGTAGATGTCAGCTTCGGTGCTTTAGCTTTCGTTTGATGTTGCGTTGTCAAAACCGAAGAATGAGGAGTTGTTGCTGAGTGTGGAAACGATAACATGGGTAATGACGGTGACCAAGTTTTTGAAATTGTTTTGGTACGACTCTTTGAATTGTGCGTCTTTAACCTTTGTGTTGTTACTTTTATTTTTGACGTAACTAGTTTCGATGTAAATGAATGTGCGGGTATAAAATGCAAGGTAGTTTTGCTTGATTGCGTGTGCTTCTGCAGTTTGTTATTTTTTCGTGAACTGTTAGATGAAACATCATTAAAATTTACATTATTATTATTGTTGTTGTTGTCAGCATTTTTGTCAATGTTTTCTAAGATGTTAGTAGAATTGTCACTGGTCTTTAAATATTTGCTATCAATAATAATTTTGTTACTGTGGTTTTTGTTTATGTTATAAATATTGTTTGATTCGCTTACAATGTATTTAAATAAATTGTTATCCCGAACTGTTTCAAAAGACTTTTTCCGTCTCACAGTTTTGAAGGTGTTTTTCTGTTCATTGAGCGGAGCGTGCCTGTACTTGGCAATGATGTTGTTGCTTATTTTGGCGGTGTTGTTTGAAGTGTTATCTGCACAAACATCACAACTATGTTGACGCGTTGTATTCTTTGCATAAACAGTTTCATATGTCTTCATTTGCCAATCATGGGCTTTAATTTTGCGATGACCGCCATTCAAGAACCTCTGTGTGGTGCAGTTGATTGTTGCGCTGCTTTCGTTTTTTGAATGGACGAGGTCAGTTAATTTTATTAAGTTATGTTTTTTATCGTTTCGTTTGACTCTATGCACAGTTTTACTACTTTCACCGTGATAGTCATTGGAGAAAATAGGGCTACTCTTTTCCAAGTTCCAATCGATATCACTTCTGCTATTGCCACCATCCTCTTCATCCTCCTCATCATCATCCAGAGTTATTGCATTAAACCTGAGATCTTGAGGGACGTCAAATACCTGGGCCACTAAGACATACTTGCGTATCGTTGTCGTTGCATATTTGTTGTTGGAGGTCCTATGAGAGATCATCCCATCAACATCGTCACCCGCATGTGCTGCCATCTCGTTGTCGTAAGTGTCCATGTTCCTACTAATGCTGCTGCTGGATTGAGAAAAAAGTTATTTTTATTGTAATTTTTACTTTTGACTAATTATTTCTGCATTGAGCAGTGATGTTTAACAGTTGTTTTTATTTGAATACCATTTAGTTTAATACGGCTGTTTAAGCTTTATCTCTAAGGATCAGTTTTAAACATATATACAAAAAGTTAAACACAATGAAAATAAGAACTTAGAACTTAGGCAAATCAAAAAACATTTTAGTTCAATTTTAGCTTAATGTTATTTGTTGTGTTATTATTTTGTTTGTAATGTTATTTGTTATACCTAATGCTTTCGGTTCAATGTTATTTGTTGTGATGCTATATGTTGCGATGTTATTGGTTATAATAACCGCTTGTTGGTAGTTTTCTTCTGTGGCCTCCAAACCTGGAAGTAGACAACGTGCTGTATGGAGGTGGTTTTTGCGTAATAGTGGAAAGCCGTTATGACGTCATCGACTATATTCGATTGCATGGGGTCTGCGATAATGATCTTCGAATTTTCGCTGCTGTGTGGGTTCGTTCGTATTTTGGGCTCGTGGCCCCAGGTTCGCGTGGCTGAACAGTGTTTGTTAATGTTACAAAATTAATGCAAAACTTGCTTGTATTGATCAAATTACAAATGGTAATATTATTTCTAAAAATTTACAATAATTTGCTAATGGCAAAAATATAATAGATAATTTGATGAAAAAATGATTTGATTTGATAATGCCATAGTTGACGTGTTGATTAATTAAATTAATTTGAATGGTAATATTTCATCAAGTTGCCTAAATGAATCATTTCGCTTGATTAGAACAATTATTAACGCAACAACCTCTGGCTGGTTGACATTGAGCCACTTTTAAATAGGCAACGTAGTATGATCCTTCTAACGTTATATAATTGAACGGATGCTGAAACTCGTGGTAATGTTGTTGTTTATGTTGGTAATGATGGTAATTGTTGATCAGCTTGTTTTGTTGCTTACGTTGCTGATACATAAAATGTCGATCTATGTTTTGATTCAATTGGTCGTTTTGTTGTAAGAGATGATGTTGAGAAGGTTTGTGGGACGAATGTTGGTTCTCCAATGAGGATGATGGCTGTTGGTGCTCCGGCGACTGCAGCTGGTTTTGATACTGCTGCGTACAACTTTGATCATAATTACCGACAAAGGTAGAATCGAAATTGATTGACTTGATGAACAGCGGGAGAGTTGTTTGGCCGACTTCCGGCAGGTACCTTCGCCCGCAAGCATTTTTGTTACCTGGTGTGCCATCGCAGCTGAATGCTTGTTTGTTAGACGTTAAAGTCAAGGTTGTTGACATTCCACAAGTTCGGTTGTGCCGGGGCAATATAACTCGATTTTGTCTGAGGCTGTTGGTTGAATGATGAAATGATAACAAAATGAACAAACCAATCGACAACAGTGTATCACTATTTCCGCAGTTTACCGTGACGTTTTTCAACATGTTCAAAATTACAGCGTACACATTCACGCTTGCGGAAAATAACGCACCATACATTTTGCCCTATGCAGAACAGGGATGCTTCTTTGCAGTTGAAACAGATTTTGAAAAGCAGAACCAGATACATGGCTCACTGAGCTGTAACGTCTCCGTGAACAATAACTTTAACATCTTTTATGGGAAAGTTCATAACGATGTTTGTCTGTTTGTCTTTGTCTTTGCACTGACATCATGTAATTCGCGGTTGCTACTAGTTTGATATTTAAAAATATTTTCCAACTTATTGTTAAGCAGCAGATAAAAATAGCGTGAACGTTTTTGTTAGGGAGCTGTTTTTATGAAGAGAGTTTTTCGTTTGAAATTTTGTTCCAATAAAAGACAACGGGGCCAACACTAGTCTGTTTTTCATAAGATGCATAACAGTGGGTGCTTAACAGCTGTTAAAAATTAAACAATTTTCAACCATGTTAAATACATTACGCAAGCCACTTTATAAATTTGCTTAAATAACAGCGCCCACAAAACATAGAACTGTTTTTCTTAGGATTCGTTGAAGTCGTAATGTTGTTTTAAAGTGCCAGTCGTGAGTTTTGATCAATGCAATTTGTAATTTTTTTAAAGGTCGTTATCTCACGTTTTGTGTTTAAATGTCAAAGTTTTGCTTTGTGTCTAATTTCCTTGTCATATCTTGACATATTCCTTGACATATATCCTTGTCATAATTCATTTTATTTACAGAAAGGTAGATTGAAATATAAAAAACTTCGTTGAGGAGATTGCTCAAAATATTAGCTAAACGTTTTTGGCTAAATCACATCCCAAAACTCAAGCATCTTCAAATCATTTAGCAACAGTTTACAAATAAAAACAAACAATGCATCACCGCATAAGTTAAATACTTAAATATACTTAAATAACTAATATACTTAAATAACGTACAAATAAATTAATAAATTAATTTGTTAGTAAACTCAAGCATCACTTAATATAAGGCTCTGATGATGCACTTCCAGGGCCAACCGGATAAGGAAGGGTTAGGGTTAGGGAAAAATTATTAATTTCTAATTAATTAACTTCTAATTATTGAAAAATTTATGTTATTTTAATTTTGTTGTAAAATATATTTCAAGAGTCGTCAACTGACTAAATCTCATCTAAATAATTAGTTACAACGGTTTTTATAGTTCATAATAGCCAAAATCTGGAGGTTCAACTTAGACGATAAAATACGTCGTTTCATTGGCGGACCTGGTTCAAATGGCGTATGTAAGAGTGAGAATTTCAAAGATCAACAGCGAAAAACATTGTAAAATTTCGAGTAGTTATAAAGCAGTTTTTGTGCTGTAAGTTCAACTTCTTACTTGCGGGGGTCTTGTGGCCGAGTGGCTAGCGTGCCCGTCTACCACTCCTATGACCCGGGTTCGAATCCGGTAGTTTTTACAGGTTCATCCGGGTAGCTGACCTCCCGGCCAACCGAGCCGTCCATCCTTTCGAGGCTGGTAAATGGGTAGACAACGTAAGTTGTCGCATGTTGGCCGGCGAGGTGGCTCAGTGGTTCAAACCTCTTAATGGCTATCATATACTCAGCGTATATGATGCGGTGCTTGCGCGTGCACATAAATACATGTGTACGTCGTGTGAAAAGGATAAACAGCCTTTGTGGCAAAGATGGCTGATTCAAATCAATGGTTGAAGATATGAAGAACATAATCAATATATGCAACATTGTAAGTGGTTTTGCGTATGTCAGAGCTGTAATAATAAAGACTAAAAAAAAGTTTTTTCGTTTGAATGTACAACTTTTGTGGAACGAACAGCTTGATCTTCAATGAGGTAGAAAGTTGATCACGATTGTGTAATAGAAAACTACTGCTAAATAAAAAACAAATAATTATGTCAATAGTATTAGATGCTACTTTTTTTTAAACTATAAGAAAAAGAAAACTTTGCAAACGATTAATTTTTTTTAAATAAGCCAGAATATAAATGCATGTGTTGGTTAAATTTGAAATGAATTTAAACAATGGCCTATGCTTAATTGACTAATTTATTTTGTTTCAACAGAAAAACAACAACAACAAATGAACAGCAACAACAAAACAACAACAACTTTTGCAAAATGATTCAGTTGCAAGAATAAATTGCAATGTAAAAATATATGAATGTAAAAGTAACCTTGGTAGATACACGTCCAAGTGAAATTGTCTCAAGCCACTATTAATCCTGATGTTGAAATTCAAATCAGATAGTACACACTGATCAGTGTAGTTGAGCTGTTCAATGAAATTCATTAACTCCTGGCTTAGTAAGGTCACTTTGAACTTTGCCCTGGTCTAATTATCAATTCATTTGGGTTATTTGTGCATGTGTGAACTGATGTACATACTTTTCAATATAATAATATTTTAATTTTTACTAACTAATACATCTCATAAGTTGAAACAACAGCTGAATATGAACAAATAAGCTATTTAATAAAGAAACTATAAATAAGACGCTTGTTTCAATCGGTAAAGTATCACAACAGTTTAGTTCAACGTTCAAAATACATAATCCATCCATCCATCTGTCCGTCCGTCCGTCCATCCATCCATCCATCCATCCATCCATCCATCTATCCATCCATCCATTCACACATCACTTACATCTTTTATAACGAGCAGAAAATTAAAATATTTGCTATTTGCCGGAGTCATTGCTGAAAAAGTGGTCAACCCAAAACCGTTTGTCTAAAAAAACTTGTCTTCGTTTAGTTATTTGACTAAAAAACTGACTTCGTTTAGTTTTGGTTTAGTTATAATAAATTCCGACACCCAATTTGCACATGGTTAATTTAATGTATATGGTTGTCATTTATTGTTTATCATTAATATTTTGATGGGGTTTTTATTTAACAGTTTTAAAATTGGTTTTTTCTATTTAGTCAGACATATGATAGTTTGAAATTTGCAAAACAAGACACACGCACCTCTTCTCTGAACTTCCAATCTTCGGTTGAGTCCTGCCCCACACGAATCCACACCGATCCGTCACGTCTGAAGATATTTTGCCGTAGTTAGGTTCGGTTTTAATAATTTTAATAAGATTTATTACTATTTCTATCAAAATGTACGGTAATACTCCTCCCCAACGACCTCCGCATCTACGACTCTCTCTCTCTCATTCTCGACCGTTTTGTTTCTGACGGATTGTTTTCGCATTAAGCGTCACCCCGATCTACGACTCCCTTAAAAACCCGATCATCGACCTTAAAAAACACAAAAAAAAACGTAAAATTTACGACTTTTGTAAAATTTTTCATGTGTTTTCTGAAGTGTGGATTGAAGATCCCCAAAACAAATGTCATCGAAGATAATCATTTTTTGGTTTTTATGTTTGTTTCCATTCTTTTTTAGTCTTTTTTAAAATTTAATTAAGGAACGTTCATTTTTCTTTAAACAACATTTCAACTTTACAAGCAAAAAATATTGAATATGTAAAAAATAATTTTTAGATGATGTAAGACAAATTGAAATGGAAAAAGAGTTCCGTACAAATGAAGTCAAGCTTCTCAGTAGACAGTAGAAGAGTTTGCTGCAATAGATAACAAAGTCCCAACCAGTGCTGAAACAGAAGAAGATAACTTGGATTGGATATTCAGTCATAGTTTAAAGAAGATCCACAAAAAGACGAAATTTATGAAATAATTGAACCTGTGATTTCTTATACTGTTGCTGCTAAAAGTATTCAACAGTTGATTCATTTTTTACTGACTCATGGATTTCAAGGCATTCCAGAACATTTAGCAAATTTTCTTGGTCAAATTCAAACAAAACATCTTAAAAAAATCAACAGTATTTCAACCTCCACTTACTTCATTTCTCCCAAAATGAATTAAATTTTTGAGCTTAACAATACAACATGGTTTTTCCAAATTATATATTTTGTAAATATAATTCAAGGCAGTATACATTTACTAATAAAAAATAATGTACACATCTTCTGTAACTTTTTTTTATATGGTTGTAAATATGGCTTTCCCCATTTAAGACCCCTCCCTTTTAAGACCTGATTTCTATGACATTTTCAAAGTCGTTAATAGGGAGTACCACCGTATTTTCCATCAAAATTGAAAACGGTTGGATGAGAATTAAAGTTCAATAGAGAGAACCACTGCATTACTCTTTCATATATAAACATAAATATATTATAGTTATAAATTTTAAATAAAAAACTAATTGTAAACCAATATTCTAAATATAAGAAAATATATTAAAAATAATTTTAACAAAGTTTGCTTTTAATAACAAATAAGTTAAACTTTAATTTTGGTACAGCAAAAATACACCAACACATTAAAACGTTAGATTTCTAAATCTGAAAGATATTTTAAGTTGCAGTCCTTGAGAACCTACCTGTAACTCAAGTATGCATCTTGCTTCGATCCGTTGACCATAGCGATGGTGTAGTAGCCAGTGTCAACCCGGCACCAATCAGTCGAGGTCGTGATGGACATCGTTGTGTTGTTTTCATTCCTGTTGCCGTCGTCGTCTCTGCTGTTTTGATGATCGCTGCTGGAATGAACGTCGTCAGTTTTCAAGTTGTTGTAGTTGATGCCATGAAAACTTCTTTGCTGGATTTTTTTGTTTTTAAGGAAGTTGGTGCTGCTCGCACGTGGAAGGTCCTCCAGGTCCATCAAACACGCCGACATCAAAAAACCTGCTGAATGAAAGAGTGCATTATCATCCTCCAAGCATTTTATCGGTAGAATTATGGATTTAATGGTTTTAATATCACACTAAGCTCATTTTATTTTGTTACATGTGCTGATTTTAAATCAAAATGATGTTTTCATTGATGCTCTGTAAATGCTCGAATGGAAAACTTACAGACGTCTAAACTAGCATTAAAATTGTAAGTTCAAATCTAAACGACAAACAAATATCGATTAATAAAAATTATAGCATATTGAACAAGTGAACAGTACGTTAATAAATTTAAGTAATAAAATTGAAAAGAAAAGTGAGAGGCCAATAAAAAATGTTGTTTTGTTCATTTGAATTGTTTAAAAAAATATGCTAGAAAGATTGTGAAGTGGACTGCTGTGGGAGATGGAAGGTGGGGAGGAGCACGTATTTGTAATAGGTTTGGTTATATGCTTAAACGTTAGTGGGCTGGGAAAATGATTTTAATTGACCAGTAAAACTAGCACTGTTTATTTTTGTTGTTAGAAAAACAAAAATCTATTGCCGTCAAAATTTCTTTTAATGAAAAAAACTAATAAAATAAAAAGAGAAAGCGGTAATTTAAAAAATAGCTTCAACCGGAAAGCCTACAAAATAATTTTTACAAATCAGTGAAAATTGTTAGCTTGTTGAAAAAAAAGAAAAGAAGTAATTTAATTGCTGACTGGAGAAATGGATATAAGAAGGGAGCATGGTAGAAGCATGTCGGATTCGACTTGAGTGTGGATAGGAAGTCAAGCAGGCTCGAATGGAGACGTAACGAGGTCTGCAGGCCTCCTCCTCTACCTGCCATCCATGTCTGCCGTTCATATTGGCATAGCTACATAAGAACAGTTTACAGTGACAAATATTATAAAAACCATACCAGTCAGTTTAACTCGATGCTGGGTTGGCATGAAACGCTGTTTTGTTTGCGTTCTATTACAAATATTGTAGTTGCGTTTGGCGGGTTTTAATGTAGAAATCTTTTGAACACATCTTTTAAAATTTAACGTGTTTCACGTTTTTAGATCCATTCAAGTGACTCTACACTCCGACCGCCCCCTGGTTCGCACTGACCCTGACCTTAAGAGACATCACTAATAAGTGTGCGTTAAATGAAACATTATAAAAATGGATTAGGTTTTAACGATTTAATTGTTTGATTTAAATTTAGGAAATTTATTGTTTAAGGCTTTTTATATTTTTTAACAATTTAAGTTTCATGGTACAAATAATCATGACACATCTGACAAACCGAGAAATGTTTATGAAACAAATTGATTGTGCATATGAAAATTAATTATTTTTAAAAATTGCATTAAACCTCAAATTTGAAAAATTCTAAAGTTAGATTTTTTAAGTTTTTAAATGATCTAAAACACATAGTTACATCAGTACGTATACGAGAAAAATAGCTTGAATGTATCTCATTCTCTTGCAAATGTTTTTATTTATTGCACGTTTTGAAAAGTTTGTTTTAAAAATTTGATTTATAAAATTATAAAAAAAAAGAATTACGTGTGTACGCAAGCGAGTAGGTGTGAATACGCAGCCACGTAACGATTGCAGCTCAAAGTATCAGAATGAAGAGAGTGCGTGAGTGCACGTGGTGACCATCCTGGAATTTATGAAGCCTGGCAAATTTATGCTTCAATGCCTATGAATTCTGAAAATGTTAACGATTGTTTGATTATGCTTGCATTGTTAACATGTAGCATGGTTCATTGTTGGAGCTGCACTGCTGACGGGTGTCAAAGTATGCTCCTGGGGTGCCTGTCGTTGTGCCAAGTAACTGCGAGAGTTTCAAACTTGTTTCACAACAAACTTCTTACAACATAGCCAGTCGTTCTTTATACTTTGTAAATTATGCGAGAGAAAAAAAATACTTAGAATTTTTTGTTTAAAAATAATTTTTTCATAGTCGAGCCAGTTGATCACGTTCTAAATACTTCCCCTGATTTCATTAATGAACGTTCCAACTGGTATTAAAAAATTTCGCGATGTACTGCACTCCCAGATATCATCGCATTTTATTTTTATATTTTTAACTCAAACAAAATTTAAAAAACTAAAATTTAAACTAATAAAACAAAATTAATATTTGACTAATTTTAACAATTTTCAAAAAATATTTATTCATAAAATTTTGAAAATTTTGGAATTTACGACAAATATAGGCGAATCTTTGCTATATAATAATATGATTTGCCGATACTTTGGCATCCATTCATGTATGTACGTACAGGTTCATACATTGTTGTGCATTTGTGGAGCGCCTCCCCCAGTTGTGCTTCGTTTCGTTGAGAAATGATGTTTCAAGAGTTTACCGAGCACCTGCTGATGTTGGTATCAACTTTAAATCAAGCGGCAATGAGTCCCGAGCCTTAGCTGCTGTAACAGAAAACGTGATTGCCCCAAAATGAGATGTTTCGAACGGAGGGCAAACATGATCTCCAGAAACACTTCTCGGAGGAAAATTAGAATAAATAGAAAAATCATTCAAATAATGCATCTATCATCAAGAAATTGTTGAATATTTGACATTCTTGACATTCCTGATGTATATCAAAATATTTTTTATAAATAAATATCTAAATAAGTGATGTAATGATTAAATTTCAGTCTTTTAAATAAGGCTTGAAAAATGTTTTAATTAATTTAACTTTTGTTTGCTCACATAAGAAAATGAATCAAGGCGCATAATATTATTCACATATACCGGCGTCCATAATTTTCATGAATGTGCTTGAAATAATTATCTTTTGTGGGTGAGTTTTCTCTCTTCGTGCTGACGTCAACTTCTGGTGCTTCTGGTCTATGGTGTGGTATTGAATCTGTTACCCGTCAACTTAAAAAGACTGGAATAAACTATTACAACTTACCTCTTAAAATATACTTAAGTCAAAGATTACCATTTATTTTTCTGGATTGATGTCTTGATATAGTTTGATCGGTTTTTTCCTTTTCGACTGTGATTGATTTTGAGGATGTAATAATAATAATAACTAAATAATTATGAAAAAAACAAAATAAAACAAAAATTAGGGAAAAAATATTAAAATTACTGGCACATTATGGCAACATCTTGGGAGCTGCAGTGCCGTTAAAATCTTCATTGAAAAAAAATTATCGAATTTTAGCATGAAGGTTAGCGTGGTAGAGGCAGAAGAATTTTCAGCACAAATGCATTGGACCTTTATTGCTTTCATTTAGACTTTTTGATGAGAGTTTATTAGAACTTATTGTGACAAGTAATTTTTTACTCTGACAGAAATTATTTTTTTCGTTTTAAATCCATTTTAAAATTCAAGTTTAGTTGAGGTCTTCATTTCTGAAATCATAAATTAAATGCTTATTTTTGATTATTGTGTTTCATTTTTTTTTACTTTTTGTACGCATGCTTAGCAAACAAAAAACTTTTACAGTTTTCGCTAGCCTTCGAAACAACCTTGTACTAATCAAACGATAAAAATGACTTTTCATTTGCACGGTCAGTAAGAAAAAAATTAATTTTAATTCTAACGCATGCGTTGTAATTGTTTCGTATCTGATGTAATGATTCACAAATTAGATGAGCAGACACAAATAATTGATGTACATCCAAGACAACCGGCACACAGGCAGCCAACGAGCAATGAGCAGAGGGCATTAGAAAACAGAAATAACAAGAAAACAATATACCATATTTACCTGGAACACTGCATATAACATCAGGTTTCCACGGATATAAATATAAAAGTGTGGAAGTATGCGCGAGCACATACTTTTTTGTAGCGCTCATACCCTCCTCATAAACACATTCGTATTATAATTATTTTTGACACTTCAGATATTTGAAACGACCCCTTAACTGGCTGTGACGGCATGGCCATGTGACCTCCCATGCAATATGGCACTAGCGCTGATGAAATGTCGATACCGTGAAAATGATATTTGCTTTGAAGAGGAGAATCGCTTTGATTGACTGCCCGACAGACCCCTCCAACCAATAAGTATCCTATCAATTCAACGCAATGACTATGAGTTTGTGCAAATATTGATTTAAATAAATGTAAAAAATTTAAAGTTCAATTTTTGTTATAATTGCGGGATATTTTGTTTAAAAATTTAATAATAATAATAAATGTTTATATATATAAGGTTTTTTGGATGTTACAACAAAAAAATAGTCAACAGTCATCAATAATAGTCATTAGAGTTTACACCACACACACACGCGCACACACACAAACAATCATGTAGTATATATATATATATATATTATATATATATATATATATATGTGTGTATGTATATGTATATAAACATATATCCCTATATCTATTAATATATTATGTATATTAAGTGGCTTGTAGTTCGTTTTTTCGATTTTTCTCATTAAGGTTTTTAAAAAAATTATCCCATTTATTAAAATATTAAAATTAGAATTCAGATAAACTTAATTCAATTTTAATAAATCATTTTCAGTATGGGTGGAGGTTATATAGTTTATGAACAATAAGGAATTTTTGTTAGTTGAAGCTAATTAGTGTTTTTTTTCGTTCTTCGTTTTCGCTGTGTCATATTCCTCTTTGTCGTCATTTCCATTGCCGGAGTTGGGTATCCCGATGGTTTATATTGAGGAGGTTGTCACTTTTGCTGGATGACCCTTACGAAGAGTGAGTTATTTTAACCGTTGTTCACAAGAAGGTCGGTTAATCTTTTTAATTCAGCATCACAGTTTGCTGAAGGGGGAGAGTGGGTGAATGCCCAGTTTACAAACGGTCTAATTGTGCTCACTTTGAATTCTTCGGCGAGTTTCCTTTAACAGAGTGACGCATCGTCAGAAAAATAAATGGCATTTGAGGGTGTTAAAGTTTCAGGGTCAAATAATTTTAAATTTTGAACAATTTTTTTAAAACACTTTAATTAAATATTTAAAGAATACTTACTTCAATAGCATCAAATGATTTTTAATTTAAAAAAAAATTAGTTAGTAAAAAATAATGACACAAATCAGATCACTTGAATTAGCCTCAAAGTAGAAATGTAAATAAATGTGTTATAAAAATAATCAAAGAACATTTTGTTAAAACATCCAAATTTGAAATGGAAACGAATAACAACTGAAACAACAAAGGAGAAAAGTCCCGTCGGGGAATGAAGACAGCACGAAAGATGAAATTTGTATTAACGACATCCATAATAACAAAAATCTTCTCCGTAGCTCCAACGCTTGCAAGACGAAGTGATTTAAATTTAAAGAGCGTGCCAGAATGCAGTCGTAGAAGAATGGAATCTAGTGCTATGGATGGATGGAAGGATGAATGGATGGATCGATAAATGGATGGATGAATGGATGGATGAATGAGTGGATGAATGGATGGATGAATCAATTGAAGTTTGTTCATCCAACGAACAAATGAAATATCTCTTAATTTAATGGTTAAATAAAAAATCGGTAAAAAATGTAATGCCGTATCATTCTAGTTGAATTTGAATTGTATATTTGGTTAAAAAAAAACAACACTTAATAACGTAAACAAATTCAAATAACAAAGTGAATTGAGTAATTTAGTAAAATAATTAAGAAACTATATTTACTATGGTGATTAACATGTTAGCTGTTTTTTTAATTGAATAAAATAGTTAACAGTTATAAGTAAGCTAAAGTACATTTAATTATTTTGGTACGTAATTAAATTTTACTATTTAAACATTTATTCTAGACATATTTAAATTTTTCGAATTTAATTTTAAAATAATTTCAAATTTAAAATAAACCATCTTATAGCATATCAAATTAAATCAAAATTCCCACGTTCTAATTGACCGTTAAAATTTGTTTGCACAATGTTACAGTCTGACCAAGGTCGTACGATGCCTCATTGCAGTATTTCACTACTATCGCCATCTCGCAACCTATTCAAGGCAACTATTGCATATTTGTTTCAAAATCTTTCGTTTGAAACAAAAATAAAAATTGATGTCGGAAAAAATTATTTGAAGACAGCAGACTAATAAGCATTCTACTGCATGCACAGCACAACTACGCTCACACTGACCAGTCACACAAGTCCTTGCACTTCCAAGCACACACCGTACATGATTTTTGAGACCCCTCATACAAATATGTACAAACGCATCTACGTTGATTCACGAGTGTATACACGGATGCACGAATACGAATATACACAGCACGCACATGCACGTACAGACAAACGACCAGACATACAAACTTTGTAAACGGGTTAAACTATCCACTCAACACAGCGTACGTACGTACATTACAATAACAGAGAACCGAGTGTATCAAATGATGATTATTGATGTATAATATTATGCACGAGTGTTGAGTATGGATGTGTGTGTGTGCATGCGTGCGTGCGTGTGTGTGTAAATCTATTTCTATTTCGACTAATTAATAGTCAACCCAAAAATGGTTAAGGAATGTTTTCAGATAAAATATGTTGACCGGCTGAAGTACTTGAGACTCCAAAAGCTGCAGTACAGAAGAGTACGTGGTGATTTGATACTGTCATTCAATGTGATGCACAGAGAAGATCGAAGAGGTTTTCCAGAAATAGCAAAAGTAGATTATCGTACGTACAAGAGGCCTGAAGATCAACTCTTTACCATTTGGCTGCATATGGAGAAAGAGTCATTTGTATAACAGAATATCAAACATTTGGAAGGGATTACAGGAAGATTTTGCCAATGCCTCTGGAGTGAATGGATCTAAAAAAATTGGATGATGCCTTAATGAATGTGGATTTTAAATTTGATTGGAAAGCTGCTGTATGATGTTAGAACAATCGCTTTGCTTAATGTGGTTAATGAATGAGAATTTTTTTATGTAGATAAATAACTTTTTTATATTGTTTTTCTATTCTTTTTAATGTTTAATGTGAAAAAGACATTTAATTTATGTAACTTTCATTGATCTGGTCTTAGAAACATTAATGTTTTGCCCATATTTTGTTCTTGATAATAATATTAATAATAATAAAAAATATATACAAATTAATATTTAAACACAATCTTCAAGTTATTAGTAAAAAACATTATTTTACTTTTATTTACTTTTATTATTTCCCTTGTCTTGATGACTTTATCAATATTTTCATTCAAATACTAAAAAGTTTATTGACTGATTCATAGGACGGAGCAGTAGTGAGGCGTCACGGAAAGATCTCCGCCCATCTCACAACACGTACATTAGTCGCGTGCATTTATTGTTGTTGATGCCTTTAAAAATTAACTAAAAACAAAATTAATAGCAAGGACACATCTTATAAAACGTTTTCAAAGTTTGTTTTCGAGTTTGGCTTATTTGAGGGTGAGGGTGGCTTGATCTTCTGGATGCGCGAGCACGTGATCCAGTAGTTTGTCTTGCTCGTAAAGTAAAGTGTGTTTAACGTTTTCACGTCAAATGATCACAATGCTGACGTCTGCGCCGATGTAATGCAACACAATTTTGTAGGCAACGGTAATGTTAACTAATCCACTGACATAACAGGGTTTGATGACGGTGGGAATGGTGGGTTCAGACCAAAAGTCTGAACGCCTATCTTATCCATAACAAATGCAAAAGTGTAAAATATTTAAAATTAATTAATTGTACAATATTCAAAGTATAGTTAATGTACCTGATCAACAATCACATTTATTTGTTTATAGTAAGAGGGAATAATATATAAAGGAAAATCTAGGAGGGTTATTTTCTTCTATGCATATCTTGTTTAATTCGATCTAAGTTAGCAGTTTGTTAGGTTTTTTTTAAATTGTTTAATATTCTTATAATTATATATATATATATGGGTCATTCTCTGTCAACTTGAACCATGGTCCACGCCCGACCATCTCCGATTTTTTTTAAATTTGAACAGTAAGTACCTCAATGTATTTCATCGACAAAATAAAATTTTTATAAAACAATTTCAATTATTTTTCAAGTTATGAAGATTTTTGTGACAGCATCCTCAAATTTTTGAGCAATTTTTTTCAAAACGTGTACCTACGTAGAACGCTATATCTCTTGAACTAGTCAACATATCTTGATGAAATTTTTTGTGCATATCAGTGAAACAATGTAATAACAAAAAAATAAATGTTATTGTCTCGAATCAAAGGATATTTTGAACAAAAAATCTAGAAAAAAATGATTTTTTTGAAAATTTCCCCGATTTCAAAACAGCGTAGCTCAAAATCTATCGCAAAATAAATAAATATTTTTTGTTATTTTAGAAGTACCTTATAGTCATAAATAAATCACAAAATTTCGTTAAAATCTGTTTTGAATTTTTTGAGCTATCGGAGCTCAAAATGTCAAAAAAATGAAAAACTTCTTTTGTTTGGCGCCATTTTTAACTATGAAGAACCAAACGTTTTTTAATTTTTAAAATTTGTTTATATAGTGCTTTTATAGCTTAACAACATATCAAAAATTAAAATTGGCGTTTGCTTTCTTTGAAAAATAAAACAACTTCAAAAACAGGCAAAACAAATTTTTTTCAAGTGTCAATATTTTTTATTTTTTTCAATTTAAAATTTAGAATGTATGTTACACAGATGTGAGGAATGCCCAGGAAAACTGAGTGTCGAAAATAACTTAAGAGCGATTTTCGAAGAAGCTGTAATTTCAACTGACAACACAATCAGTTTTTATCAATGGTCCCATGATGATAATCGCAGTTCATTGATTTCCGTACAGGATACAGTTGACAGTTTCATTGAAAGATTTTCGCAAAAACTTGACGAGTTGTCATCGCATCATTACATAAGCAAAGAACAATTGAAATATCTTAGCAATTCTAAAGAAAATTTAAAAAATTCGGAGTGTATTGCTTTAATGGATTTTGCTGAAAATTATTCGGTGATAATACAGGATGCAATCCAGAGTCAACATTGGAGCAACACGCAAGTTACTCTTCACCCAATTGTTCATTGGCATAGTTTCAGAAACGTCTTAAGTTCTCAAAAGTGGATTTGGTACGAGACTCTATGCTCATTGGCATGGTTTCGCACGCGTACTAAAGTCACACAATTTGTTTCCAGTGTTGTTCTGACTCTTGTTGTTTTGTGTTGGTTGTGCGAAAGCCGACCAGACTCGACGGCCCAGTGAAAACAGGCCAGGGTTGTGCGAAAGCCGACCGACAGACTGACAGGCCCATTGAAAACAGGCCCTTGGTCGTGCGAAAGCCGATCAGACTCGACGGCCCAGTGAAAACAGGCCAAGGTTGTGCGAAAGCCGACCGACTGACAGACAGACAGGCCCAGTGAAAACAGGCCCTTGGTTGTGCGAAAGCCGATCAGACTCGACGGCCCAGTGAAAACAGGCCAGGGTTGAGCAAAAGCCGACTGACAGGCCCAGTGAAAACAGGCCTTGGATTCTATGAAAACGAATCCGCCTCGTTGTTTTGTTTCTTGTGCTATTTGTAGACCTAGGGTTCTTTGCTGGATTCTATGCTCATTGGTATAGTTTCACACGCAGTTTGGAATTTCCATAGGCTCTGATTTTTGTAATTTTTACGCATTCATTTTATTTATTTCTTGGAGTTGTATCGACATCACTATCGGTCACACACGTCGAGGTTGTACGATTAAACGGCAAGAAACATATCCCAAGTTGAAGACCCAACAAGAAGAAGTTCTAATTCCTGTATTCCAGTTTGTTCATTGACATTTTACATTATTATAGAGTTAATTTAGTTCAATTCCTTTCCATTTACTTCCGTCAATTAATAAAATTGTTATCCAATATTTTTTTACGCGTTCGTGTGGTACTCAGTAAAATCATATAATTCGAAAAAGCCCAGTGCCACACAGGACTGGTCGAACTCACGATAAAAATATACACAAAAATTATTGTCGGACCATAAAAAAATTCCCTGAGAAAGATAGAGGAGGAGATTGCCTCAACACCACCAGTTGTTTTTATTTAAATTTTCCGACAATATATATATATGTATATATATATATATATATATATATATATGTTGGTAATAGACCATAATTTTTAAAATATTCTATAAATTCTACGAAATGTTTGGCGTTTGTAGTTCGTTTTTTCAATTTTTTTCTCACTAAAGTTTTTTGGTGAACGTTTAGTTTATTAAAATTCAAAATAAACTTATTTTCCGAATTCATGCTGCAAATAAGGCCATATTTCGATTCCGAATGATTCATCATCAGTGCTTTTTGATGTTTATATAGGGAAATATTGACTTTGTCAAAATGAACTTAGATGGAAATTAGGTGTCAGGTTTCTTTATTGGCTGATCATTCTCTTTGGTCTCTTTTTCTTCATCGATAGCATCATATTCTTCTTTGTCACTATTTACAATGCTAGTTTTTATTACTTCTTTGGTTTCGTTGTTGGTTAAGCGCCGGGTTGGAAGTGAGGTTGTCATTTTTTGTTGAATATTTATTTTTGGTTTATTGATGTCAATTAGGACTGCTTCTACACGCATCTTAAAATTGCAGAAAAAACGAACTACAAACATATTAACGCCAAACATTCGGTAGAATTTATAGAATATTGTAAATATATATATATATATATATATATATATATATATATATGTATATTTATTTATTTATATATTTATTTATGTGTTGGATTAAGTCTGTCAGAAATGCAATTATTGATAAAAATCACAGCATATTCGGCGTTAGTTAACTTCCAATTTAACTTTTCGATTTTTCTAACGGTTGATCATTTTTCAAGTTTCTTTTGATCAAAACCAAAATTTTGTTTATTTTATGCATGATAGATCAGAAAAGCTTTTTTCGGTATTCCTATACCATCTTGGGTGTTCAAATTAATATGTTGTAGTTGTGCCCAGATGCTCGAATATTTAATAATTATAATATAATATATAAATATGTAATAAATATAAAAAAGATTTGAGCATCTGGGCGCAACCACAACATATCAATTTGAATATCAATATATATATATGCAATTATTGATGAAAATCACAGCATGTTCGGCGTTAGTTTACTCTTTATTTAATTTTTTGTTTTTTTTTAACGGTTGATCGTAAATCATTCTCAAGTTTCTTGAGTTCAAAACCAAAATTATGTCTGTTTGTTTCAACGCGCTATTCTTCTGTTCAGTTATATAGTTCCACTTGGTTCGAGATCGAGAGTGCTCCTAACTCAAGAACTGCGTTGAATCACGTCGGACTTTATATTATTTTATATTTGTTTGATTAAAACTCATTTACTTAGATAGCAATTGTTGGTTGATAAAAAGATTTCAAAAATGGGTTCTTCATTTCTTATGTAAATTTTTATAATAACTCAACGAACGTAAGTCACTAATCTAAAGCAAATTAATTTAACGATCTCAAAAATCCATTCCCATCATCTATACAACATTTATGGAATATCAAAGACAACACAAGCAATGTGAGTAAAATTATTTTCCAACCCAACAGATAAATTGAGAAACTTTAAAAAAAAACAACATAAAAAATCGATAACACCAGAATCACAAAAACCACAATGTGGTGGAAAATATTGAACACCATATCCAGCATTGTATGGTGGAGAACACAGTAACAGTGTTGATATTTTAGATATGCCAACCAAAATTTACAATACTTTAGCAAAATTTATTATTTCAGATTCATCTATTTTATTTCATTTTTAATAATTAGTATTTAAATTTATTTATATGGCTGAGCTACCAGTTTTGGGGGCTTGACTGCAAAATATCTAGACCTAACATTTGCTTTTTGATACTTAGAAATCCCACTGAATATAACAAAAATGAAGTTACATGTATGAAAACAAGCAAATTCTTTTTTCGTTTTTTGTTTTTTTTCTTAAAAAATGTTCAAACATGGATTATATATATAATACCAAAAATCAATGAACGTACGTATCTTTAATTTTGTTCAAAGCTTTTTTACTTATCAGATACATACACATTTTTAGTAGTGTGGTGATTGTGATCTCTGTGCAAAATATTTTAAATATGATAATGGTTTCTTTACATTGAAAAACAAAATATATATATGCTGCATGCACTTAGTTTGTGCAGTGTTAGAACAAGTCTATCAAAAAATACGATTTCCGAGAAAGATTATGGCAATAACGCAATGAATTAAAAGCTCATGTATTTATTATGTGATTAAAATTTGAACACACCGACCAAAATACTATAAAAATTGACTGCGTCATATAAAAGCAAACGTTTTTGAAAACCTTTGCGGATTGAGGGGGATTTTATTGAATATATGCCGTGTAAGATAAATTGCTGTTGTCAAGGAGCTGTTTGTTATTGCAAAAAATGGTTTGTTACTCACAAGGGGCAGGTGCTAACAATAAAGCACCAGGAAGAAAAAAATTTTTCTCGTACGGATACTCTGGTACTTGCGAGTCTGAGCACGCATCCAAACACAGTTAGATACACACATAAAGATACCTACAAACCATATATATACAACACTAATACACTGTTGAAAGGACGTATATGCTGTTATAAGTGGCCAATCGACATTAAATCCCAGTGAAAAATAAAGACATTATAGTTTCAAATTACCAATTTATTTACTTACAAAACAAAAATTAATTAATTAATTTAACAAGAATCGCCGTTAATTAATTTTACTATTAAAAGTTTATGTCCACAAACTTTCAAATTAACGAATAACAATTCACTAACGTTTATCGCAAATACGGTAAAAATACGACGCAGAGTCAAATATCAAATATCGCTTTCGACACAAACAATCAATCGCTTTCTAATATCAAATATTCAATAACTACCGCTCAATATCTCGCACGTCCATATACACCCACCTTACCGACGCTTCTCGAACGTCCTAGATATCTCGCTGTCGGAAGGTTCTAGCTAGTTCCTCCTCGAACAATTTATTTAAATGGAAGCGAGTATATTTTTGACGGTTATAACAATATTTATTTTCAAGTTTCACAATTTTTTCTACATATTTTTCATGGAAATAAGTTAATTTTTCAATTGAGATAGTATATGACAATTTTATTTTGCATGGTAACTCAATCAAAGACATTTTGAGAGATATCTCAAATATTATTCCATTCGCAACCTTATTTAGTGTTTAGCATTTAACAAGATTTGTCTAACATTTATAAAAGTTAAACAAAATGAAATTATGGTACATAAATATTTATTTGACTTTTAATTTTTAACTAAATTATCGTCATTTTAACTATATTATCATAGTGGTAAACTTTTAACAAATCCAATTCAAAACGTGATGAAGTATATAATTATAATATAAGCAAGCTCTTCTTATATAACTGTGTAAACACCAACCATTGCTCTTTCTGCTTTTCACTGTTACATGCAGCGCGGAGCATGCTTGCTACAAACAAGTTTTTTTGTCTTATCACCTTTTCAAACAATTTTAAACAAATTTTGCAGTTTTAAAATCAGCGGTCCTGTGTAAAAATTTACTTAATTTTAACGATTTTGGGGGCTGAAATGCCTTTAGTCAAAATTTTTACAAATTTGTATCGAGATTTCATTTTTTTTAGCTTTAATCTTACTGAAATTTAATCCTGGAGCCTGCTTGATATGTTTCGTGGCATGTTATGACTCAATCCATTTTAATTTGTCAATATTGTATGAAATAATTGAACAATTTGTTATTCTGTTTCAGCATATTTTATTGTTGCAAACTAGTTCCTGTGTTGAGATCGATAGAGAGAAAAGTTAAATTATACAGACATTCCTGCATTTTGAATCAACATTTCACACCCTCATGCTCACATATTTGTGTAGTTGTGCGCAAATAATTGAATTTTTATGACAAAAAACTTAAAACTGAGTTTCACTCAATTTATTTAAATGGAAGTACAAAAACACAGAGAACAGGAAAAAAGTAGTCTTATTTCATTCGTAATTATGACAAATAGGCAGGAGAGATATCTGTATGTACTGGCACGCACCACGATCATACATTTCTTTCTCACACTTTTAATGTTCCATCCTTCTCTCTTCTTCTCACTGCATTATTTTTTAAGTCTCTATTTACTGAGATTTTACGTCTTTTGCTTTTGATTCATCCAAAACGTACAAACTCAGTTAACAACAATACGCCGATCTGTTTATAATTTCAAATTTAAAGTTTTACTTCTTTCTGTCAAATCTCGATCTTGCAATATGTATATCAATGTGATAAATGGAAAATATGTATATAAAAGTATTTTGTTATAGTTTGCTCATACCAGGCCGTAGCTGAAATTTTGATTAGTCGAAATATTCTTCCGTCTGGGCTTCTTCCCAT